GGCAGCGGGGGCAGCGGGCAGCGGCTCGGTGGCCTCGCGGGCCATGAGGGGCACCCAGCCGCCGGCGGGCGCGGCGGGCACGGGCACCATGTCGTTGTAGAACGGATCGAGCGAGCCCATGGGCGCCATGGGCATGCCCACTCCCTGCTCGAGGTAGTACCGCCGCCTGCCCTCGTGCACCAGGTTGTGGTCGCCATAGAAGCGAGGGACCATCGGAGCCGCCGTCGCGGCAATGCTGAGAAATACAACTTGTTGAAAACAAACTGCTTGCGGCTCAACACGCGGTGGTGTTCTTCCGTTTCCAATACTCACGGGGTAGGGGGCGTGGCTGCGATGTTGAGCTGTCGCACGTGCCTGCAGGGTGGGAGCGAGGGCGCGACCACGACGCACGACCAGGGAGTCACCTGGGTTACCACCTTCTCCTCCTCCACGACCTCGGTGACGTCTGCGCGGCTCAGGAACCACCGGGCCTGTCGTGGGCTGGAGCCGCCCCGCACCGCGCCGCCCATCGCGCCTGTCGCCAGCACGGCCAGAACCTAGGCGAGGAGGGAATTCCAAATGTTGACATTTACACACTACCCAACGTACCCGAAAAATCTGAACGAATCTGATTTTTATTTCGTAACATACTAGGTGGCTGACTCACGACTGCCGCACCGCATGCAGGCTTGCGGGAGCATGCCTACTCGCACGCGGCCATAAGGAGCCGTAGGAGCGAAGAAAGGCAAGCCCGTCTGCCGCCAGAGTAAAAATAACATTGCTCTAAAAATTCTGATCAAAGTTTGTAGTTAAAGCTAAGTTGTGTCTTTAATCGGATTGTCAACACAGAGGTCTACACTAAGCCCTAGGGTTTGAGTGCGCGACAGGTAGTGCTCCGTCCGCTCCGATACGTGGAGCAGCTGCGTTTGGGTCTCTGCTGACAGAGCTATGCAGCCGGCTGCATCTCAAACAAGATCACTAGCAACTCGTTAACTCATTCATTAACTCACTCATTGAATCACTCATTTTAGCTCACTCACTCCGGACTCACTCCACACTTATTCAGGCACTCATTTAGGCACTCATTTACGTAGCTCTCATTCAGCACTCATGCAGCACTCATTTAGCACTCATTCAGCACTCATTCAGCACTCATTCAGCACTCATTCAGCACTCATTTAGCACTAATTCAGCACTAATTCAGCACTCATGCAGCACTCACTCACTCACTGACTCACTCACTCACTCACTCACTCACTCACTCACTCACTCACTCACTCACTCACTCACTCACTCACTCACTCACTCCACTCACTCACTCACATGTAGCTAATTGCTACTCGTGAGGAAACTTGCTGTTACGAGCAAAATTCAACAACTTAAAGAGCAAACTGCTTTTTTCCTTTTTGATTTTACTTTACGAATGTAAACCTGTGTGAAAGGAAGTTTCTCGCAGCCTCGCTCTCTGCATCCGCTGCACTGCACTGCGTAAACACTAGGAGGTATTGATCTGCGCGTTGCTCACCGTGGCCAAGACGAGTCCCTTCATCCTAACGACGTGGATCGAGGCGGTGAGATTCGACGATTCTTCAGGATGCACTCCGGTCCGCGTCCAATACCCAACTGAGGTAGCCCCCCGGGTGGCAGTGAATCTTGAGGCTGTGGCGTCATCCCCATGTGGGTCCGGGGGGCGGGGCGGGGCGGAGCGGGG